GACATGGGGCGGGGGGGGGCGCGCGTTGGCGCAGAGGGGGGTATGCAGTGTAGCTCTAACCCTAACCCTCTTCTGCTGGGACACTGGATGACCATGTGGAAGTTACTGTGTCACTTTGTTCAATTCAACACCAGCCGAGGGAAAGTCATTTCTAATGAGAGCCTCTTCTGGTAGGCTAACGCATCGTACCACAATCCAAAAGATTTGAGAACTGTTTGACAGACAGAACAAGGTTAAGGCAAAATCATCTGAGGGAGAAGATGAATAATAATTGTGAAATACCGATAAACAACTGCCAGTCGTTTTGATTATTTTAATAGTCTCCTGTTAATTTTAACAGAGAAATGACTTGATCGGTCAGATGAGTAATTAGGTGGACTTTTATTTTTTTGCCACCAACCTCACCTGCACATAATGATACTAAAACTGACTAAAAGGCAAACGGTGTTAATAATTTGTCTGTGTGAAAATGGGCTTCCAGCAAAGAGAGGGCCTTTTCATGAGGAGTGCTATTTTCAGCACAACTCCATCAAATCCAGAGGAAGTCGATCAGAATTTTCTGCTAACATTCAAAAGAACAATGACGTATTTTCAGCGTGAAACATTATTAATTCTCGTCTTGTAGTGTGTTTGTGCATATTAGAATACATTTTAGAGAAAGTATTTGGAAGACTTGACACTTGGAGCTGTATTCATAGTGAGATTTCAATAACCTGTAGCTCAGGTGAGAATGTGCACTGATCTGCATGGAGTCCTTGTGCTAAATTACTACATTTACAAACTACATGTACTAGAGATTATGTTTTTTTTATCTAGTAAATGTAAAAGTACTGTTATAATAAAGAACAACAACAACAAAAAAAAGCTTCATAAATCCTCCACTGGCTGCTGTGATTTAAAAGATATGCCAATAAAACATCCAAACTGGTCCAATTCTAATGGTTTGTCAAATATTTAAGTATAAAAATCAATATGTTTTCGTTTGGACCATTTTATAAAAATGTTCACAGTAATTTATCACGTGTATGTGTAAAGATGGTTTTCTGTGCATACTCTTCATGAGATGCAACATTTCCGACCCCCACATCAAACATTTCAACCATTTTTTATCACTTTCGTCTAATAAATATTCAATGCTTGCAAGCTTTAAGTCATTTTCTTTAGTTAACAGTTTTCAAGTCATCATAAGAACCTGCCCACTTGATTTGTTGAGGAGGGTCAAGTTCTCTCAGATGGAAAACATTTCATCTTAATGGAATAGAAATCCTCCCGTTTGTCGCTATCAGCACCTGCCAGGTGGTTCTGGACCACCTGTGTGAGCCAACACGTACCCAGACTGATGCAGTCAGTCTCCTTGACTCCACGATGGGCCTGAAAGGAGCTCACCCTGAGCCGAGTGCCAAAACAATACGTCCCACATTATTTCACATAGTCATTAGAAAAACATTAGAAAGTCAGTGAGCACATACAGCTGCAGCGCTGCAAGTGCACTGAGGCTCTGATAGTGATTATGTAGCTAAAACAGCCTTTGGATAATGAAAATTGATTTTGTTTGTGGTACAATGTAAGACCGTGCGTTTGTGTGAAGTACGATCTGGATCAGGTTAAAAAGGTGCTACTTGAACCATTTATCTCTACAATAAAAGGGTCTTGACATGTGAAAATAATAAGGATGCAGTTATGAAGTGATAATGAAAAGAAATGATCATTTAACGTGCATTGATGGATCCAAATTGAGCAGTAAGACGTAAGAAGAATAGGTTCTGATCAATGAGGGTTCAGTTCTAACAGAACTCGGACATAAATCACATTCATGTCGCCAAGTGGAAAGCTCTTACCAGGTACTGATGAATGCATGGCAGCAGCACCACATCAGTCAGAGTGAAGAACAGTCCCTCAGCAAACACGTGCTCCAATGGAGGCAAATCACTCGTCTTCACTTTTCTGATCTCAGGGTTCTCTCTGGTGGTTACGGCTGGAACTGAATCCACAGACAGCTGGGCCAGGGCAGCTCTCAACTCAAGTCCGTCAGAAACCTGTGCCGACGGTCCGGGAAGGGGCTGGTCTTCGGAGGGGGTCTCCCTTTCTCTCAGTCTCTGCGCTTGTAGTTTCTGCCTCCGTATTTTGTCGTCATTGTGGACTTTGACAGGCTCCGCCAGCCGCCGCTCGAGGGTGAGGATGGCCAGAGGCAGCTGGTCGGACTGCCGTGTGGGGTTTCTGAGGTGGTCCTCAACAGCAGAGGGGATGCCAGCTTCACAGAGTCTGGTCCATCTGCTCACCTGACAGAATTAAAGAGATGTTTAGTATTAAACACAGGCCTCTCTTTAAAACTGACTGAAGTCATGTTGTACCAGAATAACTGATGTCACAAAGCAGAGATGTTCAAAGAATTGTCAACTCTTGAGAAATAATTGCATATATACTGCACTGATGGCCAATAAAACAAAGGTCTTAATAATATTATTAATGGTGATATTTTTGTAGGACCTGATATTAAATGATTGTTGGGTGGTTTACTGTTGGACATCTCTGTGGACAGACAGGAAGGCTCCCTGGATGCACGTAGATGAATGTCAGGGTGTAGTAAAATATGATGAAGGCCGAAGGTGTTTGCAAAAGTAGAGTTAATAAGTAGTGAAATTCACATGAAGAGTCAGAGAGTGGGAATGTATTGTTGCACATTACAAAACACATATATAAGCCAATTATATAGTATTAAAAAGAGTGTGTCTGCAAGCATGCAGCCCATAGATGAAGTGTCTTTTGTACATTTTTTTCATATTGTTTAAATGCAAAGCACTGAATCTAAAAATGTCAACAAAGAGATAATATTTTGTGTGATATGAGACAAAGTTGTCACATTCAGTTTCCACTATAATAGGTGGTATGGAAGGATGCAAGAAACCAGTTGTAGGCTCTGTTTGAAACAGTTTTAACATCGGAATTAATAAAAATGTATTCATGCAGCTGACACGGATGAAGTTTTGCAGAAATGTTATGAAATTTTAGACTATTTGTCTACTCAGAGTGGAGAGGTTAGGTCCAACCAAAGACACATAATGTGCACAACTGCCTATTGGTGTGTTTTAATTCTCTAATTGTAAAACAGCATCTACTAGTAGTAATAATAATAATAATTTATTTTATTTAAAAAGAGCCTTTATGGACACTGAAGGACACTGTACAGCTAAAAGAAACAAACAAAAAAGTAACGTATCACACAGTCGGATTAAAATAGAAAGTGCACCTGAGTTAATTAAGGATAGAATAATCAGAAGAGATGGGTTTTTAGACCAGTTCTGAACAGAGGTGATATTTCATAGGTCAGAGAGTCCAGAGTTGAGGAGCAGAGCAGCTGAAGGCCCTGCTCCTCATGGTGGGGAGGCAGGCAGACGGTACAGAGAGGTGGAGGAGAAGATCTGAGGGAGTGGGAGAGGATGCAGATCTGCAGAAGATCTGATGATTATGGAGGGGTGAGATGGTGGATGGATTTAAAAGTGTAAAGAAGAATTTTGAAGATGATGCAGGATTTAACCAGGAGCCAGTGAAGCTGCTGCAGGATGGGAGTGATGTAGGAGGGGCTTTGGGTGATGACACGGGCAGCAGAGTTCTGAACCATCTGTAACTTGTGGTGGGATTTTTTTGAGGAGACCAAAGAGAAGGGAGCTACAATAATCAATCTGAGAAGTCACAAGACTGGAAAAGATGCCAGTGGAATGAGAGCTGAGAGAATGACGGAGACTGTTAATGTTACGAAAGTGGAAGTAAGCACATCGAGTGCATCACTGATGTGGGATGTGAAGGAAAGTGAGCTGTCAAGGAAGACACCCAGACATTAGGGGAGGAAAACACATTTGAGTTGTTGCGTGGAAGGAGACGATGTTCAGATTTGGAAAGAGTGTTTTTGGTACATACAAAGATGAGTTCTGTTTTATCAATGTTTAGTTGAAGAAAATTGCTAGAAAACCATTGATGAGCTCACTGAGACAATCAGTGAGGACGGAGGGTGGAAGAGCAGAATTAGGTCTGGTACACAAGTAGAGCTGGGTGTCATCTGCATAGAAAACAGACCCAATAATATGACCTAGAAATAGGTAGATGATGAAAAGGAGGGACTCAAGGACAGAACCTTGGGGCACACCAGTAGAGACAGGGGAAGACTGAGACCTGAAAGACTGAACTCTCAGTGCAGTATTAGTAATAGTATCCGCAGCACTATATCCATACATATATACAGGTGACATCTGGGTCAGCTGATGTCCAGACCAAACACGGGTTAGTTAATAAGTGTTGGATTTATTTATTTTTTTAGTTCCTGGCCTCACTGACCTCTGCACAAGCCTTCAAACAGGTTTTCTTGAAACCCAGCAGCGCCAGAACCTCCTTCCTGCTCGGCTCGGCCTCAGTGGTTCTGATGATGACATGCCTGAGGACCACGGCCAGTCCGGCTCTGCAGAACCGTCCACTTGCATCCACAGCAGCCGGGAGGCGGCAGCTCCTCACCAGCTGGGGCACCTCCTCCAGCAGGACCCGGGTGACACGGACAGAGTGCGGAAGCTGAGCCCTCAGAGACTCTGAGTCTGAAGTGATGCTGTCCTTGTTGTTGAAAACCAGGACCACTGTGAAAGACGTGCACTCACAGTAGGACAAAAGGAACAGGACTATGGATGTGTGCAGGGGCAGACGCGGCTCCTCATTTAGGGAGCAGACCTCCAGGTAGAGGGAGGGCTGCTGCTGCTCTTCAGCCTGTTTCATTGGAAATAAATCAACTGTGGACTTAAAACTAAGAACAATGCGTTTGATAGCTTTGGAAATGTGTTCGTATCCACAGCTCGCGTTACTGCGCCAACGTGTTAGCTTATTTAAGCACGCAACATAAAAAAAATATAACACGTACAACAGAAATCTGAACACATGTACCCGCTTGTTTTAGTGTTTCTTCTTCTCCTGTTTTAAAAGCAGCATAGTTCCGCACAGCGCCGTCAGCGGAACACTAATACGAATTTAAATAATTAAATATGCCTAAATTCATCTGTTTCCATCACAGGAACATCACTGTAAAATGTCCACGTGTATATAATAACACATGCAGCGTAAACAACAAGCACCGCTTCTGGTTAAACAAACAAACAAAAAAAACAACAACATAAAATCAATGTTTTTTACATGGTTCCGCTCAGGCTGCTGCCGGACACATTTGTCGGTGGCACAAGCGTAAAGACGCCGCTCGGAAGGAAGTTGCTCGCTCAGTTTTCTGGCGTTCGGCAAAATCAAAACATTCAGGGAGCACAACAGAAATAAGCTCGATCGGGTAAGCTTGTCTGTATAACATTTAAAGCTATAAACTTAGCCTTAGCAGTGACCTGTTGCTAAGAGAACAGGCAGCTTTAGCTTCAGTGTCAGTTTTATTGTCCGTGTTCCTGTTTCAGCGTCGCACAAGATTCAAACAGTCCTTCAACACTAGATGCTTTCATCAAAACAAATCATAACAATATGCTCCGCGGTGAGAATCAGTCCAGATGTTTTCACAATCCCATTAGAAGATGCAGCAGTGTGCCATTATAGCATTATTATAGCATTAAATTTGTAGGAAATTCACAATTAGGTGACCAATCTTTAATTCTGCTAGAATAACAGTATATTCTCGCTGTGGTTTCTGAGTTGTTGTTTTTTTTTGTTGTTTTTTTTTGCTTTACTGATCAATCTTGTCTTGTGTTTGTGCTGTCGAAATAAAGAAATGGAGTAAATGTGCGTTAACTAAAAAGATTAAATATTTGTGCCCTGTGGTACACCATGTGTTAATGATGACTCTGTTTCTTAGAGTCAAGTTGATTTATGGTGTGTTCAAAGTAAAACAGAACAGAAACAGAAAATAAGTGTAAATGTCCAAAGATAACACAACATTATGCAAGGGTTAGGGATGAAAGCTATCATCATTCTGTCATTTCCAGTTTAGGCCATGGCTGGACCAGTCAGCTTGGAGTTGGATCCCATCTTTCTAAAGGGGCTGAGTTATTTGCATTCAAAGAGCAAAGATTCAGCTGAGAAACTCAAAGCTCTGCTTGAAGAGTCCCTCGCAAGAGGAAGCGACTCGTCCTACCGCTCCTTGCAAAAAGTAAGAAATACATTTCTGCATTATGTACAACTCTGTTGTTACTGATGTGTTCTGTGTTTACAGGTGTCTGTACATCACGTGTGTCTGTGATTGTTTCGTCTTCAGGAGGTGGAGGTGTCAAAGGGGTCTGGGTCCAAACTGAGTTCAAGTAAACAAGACACCAAGTCTTCGAGCTCCTCGTCCTCTGGCAGCAGCAGTGGGAGCAACAAATCCAGCTCAGAGAAGAGCAAGAAAGAAGGAGAGAAGAGGCCATCTGAAAAGGTGCTGGAAGCAACCTGTATTATTAGAGTTCAAATAGTTTAGAGTTACAACAAATCCTGGAAAATGTGTGGCATGTCAAGCATTTCTTTATACACTTAAGTTTATTCTTTGTATCGATGTAGTAGAGTGCTGTATGAATGGGTAAATGAGGGCACAGATTGTAGCATAAAGCGCTTTCAGTATCTTGCTAAGATAGAACAGTGCACAGAGTTCACACATCATAAACTTCTTACAGTCTGGTGAAATAGATTGATTAGGAGGTAAAGAGATGACTAATTATGGGACATAGACAATAAAACCTAATATTAATGATGAAATCAGCACCGTGCAGAAAAAATACAGTGCAATAGAAAGTGTGAAGGATCTTTATGGCTCTATTTCTGAACCAAACTTTAGCTCAATTATATAAAAATACTTCACGATCATTTCCTGAGATGGTCCAACACATGACTCGAATATGTTGAAGTCAAACACTATGAATGCACTCACACTGATTAAGACCAGGATTTAGTGTGACGACTCAAAACAAGTTCTCATACCTTAGTTACCTTCAGCTCTGCTTTTTATTGCTTCGGTCATTCATCTTCCAGAATAGTTTGGTTGATTGTTTTTTTTTTTCTGTGAAGTAGTATTTATAAATCGTTTTGGTTGTAAAATGATGATGAGCATAACCTTTGGGTGTACGGTTTTTACAGTCATGTACATGTTCCCAAACAGAGAAGAGCCTGTTCTTTTTCTACTTTTTACTAAACCTCCTATCAGAGTGTGGAGGTCCCTGCAGCTCTGCTCAGACTTTATTACCTGATGTTAAACCTGAAATATAAAACGCATGCATGTTTCCTAAAGTCCTAATAGCCTATGGCTGAATTAAAACACACAGCTAGACGTTTTAATTTGTCAGATTTTTGTTCTTCTTTTGTTTTGTTGAAAACCAGGTCAGGATTGATGTCGGGGAAGTGGAACCTCCGAAAAAGCCTCGTTTGGAGAAGCAGGAGAACCGCGCTTCCCCAATTACTGTGCAGACGAGCAAAGACCTCCTGCCAAACATAAATGACTACGATGAGACTAATGCTGACGACTTTGCCATGGAAATGGGTCTGGCCTGTGTAGTCTGCAGGTATGTATTAATTTTTAGCCTATAAGAGCTATTAAAGTACATGTAGGGGATCTGTCAGTCAAGCTTGGTTTGTGTGTTTTTAATTGCCTCAGACAAATGACGGTGACCATGGGAAACCAGTTGGTGGAGTGCCAGGAGTGTCACAATTTGTACCACCAGGACTGTCACAAAACCCCAGTGACAGACAAGGAAGTAAACGACCCACGGCTTGTGTGGTACTGCGCTCGCTGCACCAGGCAGATGAAACGCATGGTAAGAAAGCTAAACCGTGCTGCATCACCTTTTATTGTCCCTGATCGATCCACAGTCATGTCAGCAGGAAATGATGAAACAACCTTGTTTTCTGTCCGTCGTCAAGGCCCAGAAACCCCCACAGAAACCGTCTCCTGCATCCGCATCATCAGCACCGGTCGTAAAAGACACAATGGTGAAAAAGACGGAGCTCAAACTGAAAACGGACACAGCCAGCACCTTCCAGGCCTTTAAAAGAACAGAAGTGAAGGTATGTGTTTCCTATATGATAATTCTTACACGGCTGAAGATTACAGCTTCACTTTGACTTTTACTAATGAGAAAGAGCAGGCTGGTCACAGTACTTTGCTGTTAAAGCCACTTTGAATAAGGAAGATGAACAGGAAGTTGTTTCAGTTTTACACAGTTTGTCTGTTTGGTGACGTTTGTTTTTTTTCCACAAAGTTTAAACTTTTCAGAGAGCTTGTAGTTTACACATGATGTAAAATGTAAGAAATGACAACACATTTTCTGCCTACAATTAAATGATCACTTCCTGTTGTGCTCACTCTTCTTAATTTCCTGCAGCCACCTGCCACATTAGCAGCTCCCCCCAGCAGCAGCACCTCCTCCTCCAGCAGTGGTCTCACTGGTTGGGCTGCGTTCGGAGCCAAAACAAACCCGTCTCTTCCTGCTACCTCCAAGCTGGTTTCCTCAGGCCCGAGTGGGAGCAGCAAGACGTTGACAGCTCCCTCTGCTCAGAAACCTGTGGGGTTATCGGGGCTCACTGGAGCCAAGTCAGGACTCGGAGGAGCAAAGATTGCTGGGAACAGCAATGGAAATGGCTCCAGCCAGGTAACTCTGAAACCTCCTCCGCCTCTCACTCTGGGGAAGCAGACCCTTAGCCGCTCACTGAGTGGGGACGGTCAGGGGAAAGGCTCCTCGGCCTCTGGATCCAGCTCTCCAAGCAGCTCCCAGACAGCCACTGGAGGGAACGGAGGAAACAACGGAGGAGGCAATGGGAACAATGGGAATGGGTCAAAGGTTCCACCAGGAGACAAAGCACCCACCTCTCAAGAGTCCCAGCTTATCGCCATGAAACGTTTGCACATGGTCAAGAAGAAAGCTGCACAGAAGAAAATGAAGAAATAAATTGTGACAGACAGGCAGACACGGAAAGGAAGAGGTGGAAGTGTTGCAAAAATAATTATGAGTATTTAATGCCGGAGCGTCGTGTTTGTTCCTGAAGAACATCTGTGGCCAAACGCAATCTAGTCACAAGATTGAACTGAACTGTTGTTAATGCTGCTGGACTTTGTGTGCATCTTCTCTCCTCCCCAATGTAACTGATGTGTTACTTTTTATCCACCTGTCATTAAATATCCTCTTCTTATACGCTGACTGTGTAGTAAGTGGTGTTTTTTAACGCAGGTCAATATATTCTACAACTCCAAGTCAGAACATGTTGAAATGGTGTAAAGAATGTCGGTACAAACAGAACTGAGTTATTTTCATGTCTCATAAACTAATATTTTGTTCACAATGAAACAAACATCAAATGCTTGAACTAAGAAATTTTACAAATTTTAGGACAAGTTAAGGTCCATTTGAATTTGATGGCAGCAACACATTGCATTAAAGTTGGAACAGAGGCAGCACATGGCTGTAAATGCTACACTTATAGCACCTTTCCATCTAATCGAGCGCTTTACCACAGTCTGTGCCCTCATTTACCTCCACACATTCATACAGCACTCTACTAGATCTCTACAAAGATAATCTGAATCTAGATGAATCAGAGCTTTATCACATTCATACACAGAAGGGACACACATCAGAGGCAATGAGAGCTTCAGTGTCTTGCCTAAGGACATTTCAGCATGTGACTGCTGGTGGAATCGAACCCCCAACTCTCATTGGAGGATGACCACTCAGCCACAGCTATCCCCCCCCCCAAAAAAAGGTGGTTTGATAAAGAAACAGCTGGATGAGCATTTAGGAAAAACTCAGATTAACTGGCAACAGGTCAGTGAGGACTGGGAATAAAAACATTTAAGAGGCTGAACTGCTCCAAAATAAAGATGGGCAGAGGTTAATGAGGAACAATTTCACAGTAAAGTTCCTGGATGAATTTCAGAATAAAGTTCCTAAATAAAGACTTTAATCTCCATCATGTCCAGTTCATAATCTGATCACTAGATTAGAAGAATCTGTAGAAATCTGAGCTCCAAGGACGAGGCCCTCAGGGACCACTGCAATAAAACCAGGTCTGGTTCTGGTTCTGTTGCTCAGGTCTGGGGTTGTACAAAGTGAGCAACAGTTTATTCGTTCATATTTATTTATTTTATTGTAGAGATAAATAGAAAATTGACAGAATCTGTTCATAAATCATTTCACATTCATCGAGTCTTCACGTGTTAAATTTACTTCATCGATTTGAACAACACTGGAATACAAAAAGTGCTCAGGAAAGTGCACCGTGGCTCATGTGAGTGTGCGCGCACACTCGTTCACTCCGCTTCAAAGGTTCAGCACCGCCGCTCTCAGCTGTCGCACTGAACGCTCAGACTGAAGATCAACATGAGGATAATAATAATAAAGTTTGCAAAGTGCAAAAATGACGAAGCAGACATTCAGCATGTTGAACAGAAACAATAAAACAGTTAAAAAAACACGACCTCAGCCTTTCTCAAGGTCAAATGGCAACAAACACATTCTATGAACTCAAAGTGAAGCTCAGACACGTTGAGCTTTATGTTTTCTTTTAATTCGTTTAGCGAATCTTCAGATTTGCATATTCCAGGATGTAGACAGTGACTGTGTAGAAAACAGAAATAAGAAAGGATCTTTGGTTCTGAGGATCCAGGTGACGCTTCGCTTCCTTCAACTTCTGCTGGCAGTTGTTCAGACACAACATCCACTTGATGTTTTCTTCAAATGACACAAAAATACCAGAGGATCCTTTTGGAGGGTGGCACAGTGGCTAAGTGGGTAGAGCTGCTGCCTCTCAGAGAGAAGGTCGCTGGATCAAATCCCAACTCGGGGCCTTTCTGGGTGGAGTTTGCATGTTCTCTCCGTGCATGCGTGGGTTTTCTCCGGGTACTCCGGTTTCCTCCCACAGATCAAAAACATGCATGTTAGGCTGATTGGTAACTCTAAATTGTCCCTAGGTGTGAGTGAGAGAGTGAATGGTTGTTTGTCTCATAGAGGGGAGTGGTGGAGCAGAGGTTAGAGAAGGTGGGGCCTGTGATCAGAAAATCGCCGGTCCAACTCCCCAGACAGACAACATCAAAATGTGGGTGGGAAAGGTGAAACACCCACAGCTGCCTCCACCCTCATTTGCCCCACTCAGGACTTTTGAGTAAGGCCCTTGATCTCCACCACCTGCTCCCAAACAGGTCTCTCTTGAAAATGAGTTCTCGTGACTCAATGAGACTACCTGGATAAATAAATGTCCTGATGCTCAATAATCTAGGTAGAAAAATCTAACAAAAGTTAAGTCAGGTCCTCTGGACAGATGCAAAAAAGTCAAAAATAAATAAAAATAAAAATTGTTGAAATGTTTCATCTTTAATCCAAAAGACTTCTTAAGTCTGGGGAGCTGCAATAAACTCAGTCTTATAAGCAGCACCTTCTCATAGTGGTGTTGACATCCAAAGCTGTCCACATGATCAAGGAGGACCATCAGCCTAACGAGCACTCATTAGCACCCTGATGGCCGCTTGCTATTCACAGAGGGCTGAGCGATTCTTACAATAACAGCATTGTAAGAGGGGACAGTTGATCACGGAGGCCTCCACCCCTGTTTAATGACTGGTGGTTTCTTTTCACAAAGATGGCCTCCTTTACTCTTCTCTCAAACCATCGTTCCTCTCTGTCCAGGATGTGAACATCTTCATCCCTGAAAGAGTGACCTCTGACCTGGAGATGAGTGTAGACCTCAGAGTCCTGGCCTGATGATGCTGCTCTTCTGTGCTGGACCAAATATAATATAAAGGTGTGAGGGTGTATAAATAAAGGTTAAATAAAAATTTTAAAAGTGTCTCATTTGTCTCCATGTGTCCCTGTGATGGACTGGAGACCTGTCCAGGGTGTACTCCACCCCTCACAGAGTGATGACTGGACATAGGCATCAGTGACCCCCGTGACCTGAAAAGGAAGATGCAGTAAAGATAATGGATGGATGGATGGATGGATGGATGGATGGATGGATGGATGGATG